AAAGCTGTACAAGTTGAAAATCCAAACATTCTGAAAGAAAATTTCTTTAGTAATGGATTCTCTGAAGCCTTAATGCTTCTAGTTAAAGTTAATTTCCACATTTCTATGAACAATCTAGGTAGAATTATACAAATTTAAGAGATTAATAATGTCACAAGCCATATAACTCGAGGCGTTACAGTTTCTATTTGCTTTTAGCACAAGCTGAATTTTTCCGACAATCGATTTGCTAGTCAAATCACTGGACATAGTCTATTTGAAGTTGTTTATGGGAAAAATCATATTAGTCCATTGGATTTGGTACCAGTCCAGGTCAAAAATCGTTTTAGCGGAGATGCTGAAGCAGGGGTCAATCAGATCAAAGAATTACATGAAGAGGTTAGGGAGAGAATTCTCAGGCAAAGTGATAAATACAAAAAGAAAGCCAATAAGCAAAGGAAACCAACAAGTTTTCATGAAGGCGATTTAGTATGGATTCATTTGAGGAAGAAATGCTTTCTTGGAGGGCATCATGCTAAATTGAGGTCGAAAGCTGATGGTCCATTCAAGGTTCTTGAATGCATTGGTGAAAATGCTTACAAAATAGAACTTCCCGGTGATTATGGAGTTTCTACCACATTGATCAAAATTGTTGAATCCCTCAAAATAAGTTATTAAAATTTAATTTTAACTTATTTGTTACATATCTCGCATGCTAAATAATGTTTCTAACAGGATGAACAATCTCAAAGTCCTATACTATTAAAATTCCTCTTGCACGTGTGTCCTCAATCATCTCCACAGTTTAATATTCTTCCATTCATTTTTCCTTTGATAACACAATAACAGTGATATATACACATATATCAAATAGTTAAGTAATGAAAATTCAAGCAAAGGAGACACAAGGGTGCTCAAACCCTAAGATTTGTTTTGAAAGAGGTAGACTCAGACCCCCGTTTTATTTCAATTCATATTACATTTGAGCATGCATAAATGTAATTATATGTTATATGTGACTCCTTATGGGGTTTGAATATGAGCAGGTAGCATAGTAGTGCACCAGATATGTGAAATTGGTGGTGGTGTAGTGACCAAATGCTGACATGTCATGTGATCATCGACATGCTTAGTTATTAAAAGTTTAAATGACATTAATATATGATTGAAGTACGATATGATTGGATTTAACGTGCATATGAGTCTATTGAATGTTTCCCTGAAAGACTCAACCCCCCTAACAATTTCGGAAAATGCAATCAATGGCAGCGTAGAGGGGAGCGGTGGTGCCTTGATGTGAACTCCAAAAATCATCATTTAAGTCAAGTTTTGTTCAAATAATTATTTAAACTTGTGAAATATTTTAATTTAGTGTCTTTCTAATGTTTAAAGATTGAATTGTGTAATGAAAATTTGTTCAAGGTGGATAGGATATTTTGCTGTGGTTTATTTAGTTCAATTGAGTGGCAAGACTGGTGTTTGAAATATCCTTTGGACTTGGAATCATGAACTTTGATTGTGTAAAACTCAAGTTATAGACGTTTTCTCGAGGGTGCCAAAAGAACAAATAGATCCGGATTCAAAAATAGTTTTGACCCATCTATCGATTGAATTTGCATACGAAATTTTGACATGTAATTCTACTGTGTGTAAGACGTCTACATTTTAAATTTTGTAAATTTTGGACTTCATTTGGTTGCCAAACAAAATTTCTTTCAGAAAGCTGTACAAGCTGAAAATCCAAACATTCTGAAATAAAATTTCTTCAGTAATGGATTCTCTGAAGCCTTAATGCTTCTAGTTAAAGTTAATTTCCACATTTCTATAAACAATCTAGGTAGAATTATACAAATTTAAGATATTAATAATGTCACAAGCCATATAACTCGAGGCATTACCGTTTGTATTTGCTTTTAGCACAAGCTGAATTTGCCTACAATCGATTTGCTAGTCAAATCACTGGACATAGTCTATTTGAAGTTGTCTATGGGAAAAATCATATTAGTCCATTGGATTTGGTACCAGTTCAGGTCAAAAATCGTTTTAGCGGAGATGGTGAAGCAAGGGTCAATCAGATCAAAGAATTACATGAAGAGGTTAGGGAGAGAATTCTCAGGCAAAGTGAGAAATACAAAAAGCAAGCCAATAAGCAAAGGAAACCAACAAGTTTTAATGAAGGCGATTTAGTATGGATTCATTTGAGGAAGAAATGCTTTCCTGGAGGGCGTCATGCTAAATTGAGGTCGAAAGCTGATGGTCCATTCAAGGTTCTTGAATGCATTGGTGAAAATGCTTACAAAATAGAACTTCCTGGTGATTATGGAGTTTCTACCACATTGATCAAAATTGTTGAATCCCTTAAAATCAGTTATTAAAATTTAATTTTAACTTAAATTTTTATTAACCTCTTTAATTTAACCAAATAGGAGCGAAGGATTTATTTATCCATTTCTTCTATTTAAACATGGTGTAGAATATAGATTTTAATTTGGACTTTGGATAAAAAAGTGAGTGGCGTCACTATGCAAATTTAGAAGAAACCAAACCAAACCAAACCATTGGTCCGGGTCAAGATCTCACATGGTGGATTGAAATCTAAAGAGTAGATCACGCCAACAACTATGATTCGTAATTCCCCCAATCTCCCCAATTTCCGGGATTTACAGGGTCCCACCTTCGACAAACATTTGAACATGCTCATACCAAAAGTTGGAAAAACGATTGGAAATGGTACTCAACTTGTTTAATTTTTTTTTTTTATTTTTAGATTTAATAAAAAGTTGAGTTCAATTTATATAAACAAGCCATATATAAATTTATATGTTGCGACCCTCCAAAAACTTAATAATCTAAATATAAATATCAGTTTGAATATAATTTTTACTCGACCATGGACAGCATCTAATTAATAAGTTAATAGATCAAGATCACGAATAAATTAGGCGATTGACGTCAATTTAACTAGAAAAAAGTCGTGTTGGGTTAAAATCCGAAGAAAGAAAGGTAAGAGGGAAAATGAAAATCCAACAAAACTGAACAGAGAAAGATAAAAACATAAGCATCATCCTTCTTTATCTTTTTATCTTCTATTTTCAAATAATATCCAAATAACCTCTATGATAACTTTCTCAAACATGGCCATTTTGATGTATTCTAGGATTCAATTACAGTAAAATACCACTTCCTCTATCTCATTTATATAAGCTGATTTTGTTTTCACGCGAAATAAGAAATCTTATTTAAAGCTATTGAAAAAACGATTTTTGTCAAAAACTTTTCCAGTTAAATCTTATTTAATTATCAACAACTAGTAGTAAATTATTTTTGGAAGTAATAAAAAAATTGAATGATTTAATTTTCAAGAAGTGAGTATCTTTATCTTTGTACAATTTCAAGATTAAGTGGGGAAAATTGATTATAATTAGACAAAACAAAACAAAACAAAACGTCCTCGATAAAAAAAAAAAAAAACCATGAATATGTAATTGGGACAATAAAATAAGAAATGTCTACTTATATAAATGGAACTGATGGAGTACGATCTTTCTTAGTAATTTGAACGTGCCATAAATGTTGATTTATTGCGCTTATCGAGTTCAGCAACTTCTCATAATTTTCTACTTTGAATGCTAGCAAGCGTCCCATAATGAACGCGTTAATTTTTCCATCTACTCTTTATTAAAGTTTTTACACACTGGTGGGTTTATTATACTTTCCAACTCCAACTGACATAAAAGAAATTAAAAAGAATTTGGTCTCAGATTAATAGGCTTATTTAATTTCGTATGGTACATTTTTTTCTACTTTTCTCATCAACTTAATTTGATAATTTATTCATAAGACGAATGTTTTTTTTTTTTTTTCGCGCTCTCTATTTGCTATTTTCCTTTGCCCTCTTGTAACAATGATTAAAAGGCTAGACTTAGAGCATGTTTACTAAATCAAAAGTAGTTTTTGAAATTATGTTCGACAAAAAAAACAAAACTTTTCATTTTTTTTTTAAAAGTTAGTTGAACATGGTCTTTTGCATATGACATAAAGATAAAATCATGCTGTCAAAGTATGTAAAGAAGACAGCTTCTTAATTAGAAATATGTAAAGAAAATAATTATGATTAAAAAATGAATTCAGTCAAATGATTACACGAATGCCATGGCAAGGATTGAGGAGAGAGCTTAATTCTTAAATAGAAACTTTTTGGGAAAAAAAAAAGAAAATAGAAAAAATTACCAGGGTGGTAATATTGATGAAAATCGAATTTTTAGAATATTCTGATGAGAATTAATGGAATATGTGGTTGAAAAGTTATGAATGTAATAAAATATGTGTTAAAAATTTAACTATTACTTAAAATTTTTAATTGAGCCAATAAGGAGCATAATAGTATCATACAAGAATAATGTTATTCATCTCCAGTGGAGTTAAAAATACAGTCTTGTGACTCTAAATGATAGGTTAAATGAAATGTGAAATTAAATGACTTATTTAATTTCACATATCATTTAATGTCACATAACGTCTCATAGACTGTATTTGTAATTCAAATAGGGATGAATAATATTACTCATTCTACAATACTCAACAATATAATTTTTAGGGTGTGTTTGAATCACGTTATTTTGAAAGAATGTATTATGGAATAATATATTGATGGAGAGTGTGTGGTTGAAAAGGAAAGAAAAATTATTGATGTGATGGAACAAATTATTTTATTGAAAAATATGTGATTAAAAATGAGTAGAAAAATGAGAATGAAAAAAATAATATGTACCAAACAGGGGTTTAAGTGTATCTATTGTACATAAGTAAGTAGTATATAAATCAATGAATAAAAAATAATATTTTTCTTTTTCTTTTCCAATAATGTTAGTCCTATCAAATTCCAACCCATAGTCTTGTTCCCGCACTCTTTCTGCCCAATTTCCTACTTTCTCACACGCAAACTGACACACTGTTTGCTGTATAAATACTAAGCGCAAGCACTAAAACCTTTATCTTAAATCCTTCGAGCTTGTTACAAGATGGGTTTGCAGATTTCGTTTGTGCTTTCTCTCTGCTTTTTCTACACAGTCTCTGCTCTTGCTCCTGCCCCTTTGGAAGGTTAATGCTCAAAAATCTTATCTATTTTACTTTTAGTTCTTAACATTCTAATTTATTCTTATAAAGCTAGATCTTTGTTAGTTTTTCTCTTTTCTTTGGCATTTCTTGAAATGTATAATGATTTTCCCTGATTCTCTGCGGTATCCTTGTGGGGGGTTTTTTTTTTATTAATCATTTGCACATATCAATTCTTCATAAGTTTCTATCACTTTTTGGGCTTTCTCAACAAAGAGGGGTGAGGGTTCGAGACGTGATTTTGGAAAAAAATGTACCCAGGGCCAAACAAATGGTGTCCCAAGAGGATACTTCCTGTGGAGTAAGTGTCTTCGTTTGTGTGTCTGAGAGAGAGTTTTTGATAGTTCGGATACAGATCCTTATGTTTGCACCAATGGGATGTTGAAAAAAAAAATTTTTTTTTTTTTGCTACTTCTATGTTTTCTCAGGTCTACTTCCAAATGGAAACTTTGAAGAGAAACCGAAGCCCACTGACATGAAGAAAACAGTGCTCCAAGGGAAATATGCACTGCCCAGGTGGGAAATCAATGGCTTAGTCGAGTACATCTCCAGTGGGCCACAGCCTGGTGGAATGTACTTTGCAGTAGCCCATGGTGTTCACGCTGTGAGACTTGGAAACGAGGCCTCAATTTCCCAAACAATCCCTGTCAAAAATGGCTCGACATATGCACTCACATTTGGTGCATCAAGAACTTGTGCCCAAGACGAGGTCTTGAGGGTGTCGGTACCCCCTCAATCTGGGGATCTCCCTTTGCAGACTCTGTATAGTAGTAATGGTGGTGACACTTATGCTTGGGGACTCAAAGCCACTTCTAATTCAGTGAAGGTGATTTTTCATAATCCTGGAATGCAAGAGGATCCTGCTTGTGGACCTCTCCTGGATGCTGTTGCCATCAAAGAACTTTTCCCTCCAAGGTTCACCAAAGGTAATTATTTACTTTTCATGACAAGTATGAAAGTGTTTTCTATTCTACGTCCTACGAAATAGATTAGAACTCAATTATTTTAACATGTTTGGTACTAGGGATCGGATGAAAATGAAGTAAAAAATCTTGTACGTTGTCTTGTCTTGGTAAAGATTGCATATCAAATATGCTTTGAGTGCATTATTTTGTATTTTGAGTTGAGCCATCGTTCAGTTCGCAATACCATTTGCTGCACGGTTTTGATTCTTGATGTAAATATATTCTACAATCTCTAGGATGGATACATGTTTAATTTTACATATCAAGTATAAATTGTTGCTAGTAAATAAGTTTAAGACTGGCTTTTGCAGCAAATTCAGGACTTCGAGCTAATTTTGTCCCAATTTCTTGCAGCTAACTTAGTCAAGAATAATGGTTTTGAGGAGGGTCCTCATCTCTTGATCAACTCTTCTCATGGTGTCCTACTTCCTCCCAAACAGAAAGATTTGACATCCCCACTTCCCGGTTGGCTCATCGAATCAGTTAAAGCTGTAAAGTTCATAGACTCAAAGCATTTCAACGTCCCCTTTGGACGAGCAGCAGTAGAACTAGTTGCAGGAAGAGAGAGTGCCATAGCCCAAGTAATCAGAACAGTCCCCAACAAGGTCTATAATGTTGCATTCACTGTAGGAGATGCAAAGAATGATTGCCATGGATCAATGATGGTTGAAGCATTTGCTGCTAAAGGAACAATGAAAGCTCCCTTCAAATCTGAAGGAAAGGGAAAGTTCAAGACTTTTAATTTCCAGTTCAAAGCAAACTCGTACAGGACCAGATTAACCTTCTTCAGCTCCTTCTACCACACCAGGACCAACGACTACGGGACTCTTTGTGGTCCTGTCCTCGATGAAGTTCGGGCTTTCCCTGCCGCTTAGATTTCAATCTATCTGCATCAAGCTCGAAGAAGGCATATGTCAACTGAGTATCATAGAATTATAGCAATGGTCATTTGTCATCTTTTGAAATGTAAGTTAAACATTAATGAGGCGCCGTACAATTCTGATATGTGCGAAGTATCAAGTGTTTGCTGTTTTTTGTTCGCTTGTGTCCGCTTTAGTTGATTTCTTGTTGGCTCAAATACATGGTATACACAAAATAATTTGATAACCGATATATTATTAATCTGGCCAAGTCATTCTGATAATGCTAAGATAGGTTCATCTTAAAATGCATTTTAACATGATGGCAAAGTGGGATTTCCATTCAAGTCCCATCATCACTGGCGGAGGTACGGGTGGGCTGCAGCCCACCCTTGTCCATGCCTACCTCCTTTAAAAACAAATTTTTTTTTTTTATTATACCCATTGTTTTTTCACCGTTCAAGTTCAGTAGTCCACTGTTGAAAATTTTTGCTACCCATACTATTAAATCTTGGCTTCGCCCCTGCCCATCATTACTCATTTATGGAAATTGTTTGTCTGATGAAAATAAATTTGGTCTACACAGAGGACATGTCAAATAAACAAGCTAAAAGTATAATTTTGTCGAGCTTAAATTGTTCAAATATATAATGTTAGCAATAATAACACTAATGGCTAATGCATTACTCTCTCGTAAAAAAAAAATGTTATCTCTGTCATTTTTCTACCTTATTTTGATCCCAATAAACAAGTGTGTCTTGCCTTTAGCTTTAATCAACGACCGGAGAAGGTATCAGTTGTCATTAGCAGTTGAACCAAATATATACCTACAAAACAAAACTGAAAACATTCGTTTCAATTTTTAGAAATATGGAGTTTATGCAAACAAGGATGCCCACACTCAGGAGCCGGAGATATTCAGATAGTGTCAAAAAGTTACACTTTTTACTTTGATACGTATTAATGCAATTTTCGTGCATAGGCCCGGTCAGACTTGAAGGATTTGTTATCCAGAAAAGTTGACGAGGATTGATCACTATCCCTGCTGGTTTCAAATATAAGAAGTACACATATCGACCAAGGCAAAGTTGGGCAGTTAGCTTGAATAACAACAAAAGGTCGACTACTTGGATTAACATGGAAAGATTCCCGACCTAAGGAAACATTAAGGGGCTGTTCTCTTTGTGTTTCAGTTTTGTGTTTTGAGTTTTGAATTTGTTTTGTGTTTTGAGTGTCTGTTTTGAAATTTCTGAAAATGCGTTCTCTTTGTCATTCTGAAAAACTGTTTGCGAAAACATAAAAATGGAAAACGCGTTTACTTTGAAATTTTGAGAATTTTTTAAATAATATTTTATTCAAAAAATCTGATTATTCAATAAATTTTAATGGTTTAATGTTAATATAATATTAAATAACATATAAATTTTGAAATTGGTGAAACTTCAAATTTTTTTTCCAGATATTAAAAATACAACCTAAATTACATTT